TTTTGACTAAATGTTGGGTCAAATGTCGGGTCAAAGTATTGCTAAATGTTGGGTCAAATGTCGAGTCAAAGTTTTGACTAAATGTTGGGTCAAATATCGGGTCAAAGTGTTGCTAAATGTCGGGTCAAATGTCGGATCAAAGTGTTGCTAAATGTCGGGTCAAATGTCGGATCAAAGTGTTGGCTTAATGTTAGTTTAACTATTGGGTCGGTTTGTCAGGGCCTTGAGTAGCGGCTGTCCTCATCGCGGCTCTCTGCATAGTAGCCGTCTGCATGGTGCCTCTCTGCATAGCGGCCCTTCTTTTCGTCTTCTCCTCTTTTTCGCCCGTTTATGTATAGGATTTTCACAGAAACCAGGGAGAGACCTGCTCCCTTTTCCAAAACTTATGTCAGTACCTCTGGATTACAAATTCTCCAGTGTCCGGATTCGCTTCCTTCACATGGATCGCCACCATTCTGAGGTCTGAAAAGAAATCCAAGTTAATTTCTAAAGTCCTGTTAACGCCAGCGTTGTGATAATGATCGTGATACACTTCTTAATAGCTTGGATGTAAGTTTTTGCATTACATGCCACACATACACGTGTACAAGCATTAAACAAAGAGATGATACTTTAGGGAAAGACACGTGGTCTAAAACTGGGGGAACATTACGCTCAAGCTAAATATACCCATTGTGGCCGCCATATTGGTTGATATAGCAGAAAATCCCATCATGCAGTCTATCAAGTTCGACCAATAGACCAAATCCACTGCTTTCTCATTTCAGACCGTGTGTTGTACCCTAGAGTAATATTTTTTTAATTTAGCGGTTGCAAATGAGAAAAACACATGAACATGGATACACTCAAACAAAAAATCTGTTTCTCAAAAGAGTAACACATGGTCTGTAATGGGGAAAACATTACACCCAAGCGGAATTGGTCCATTAAAGATGGCTCATAACCAGTAAAATCCATTTGAGCACAATGAAAAGTATAATTTTTGATTATCTATCATCTATTATCTATTATCTTTATTTAGTAGGTCCTTACGGTGGATTGCTGCAAGTTCTTGTACGGTGTTGCACACCCCCTCCACACGTTTGACTACACTTCGTGTATGTATCAGACCAAGCACTCCAGGCACCATTGACGTATGGACTTCCATTATCAACACATTTCCCTTCGACACACCACTGATAAATAAACAAACAAACAAATAAATAAACAAAAGGACTAGTTATGTATATTTCGTATATTTGGGAAAAAATCCGATGCGAATAATAGGAATTACCCCTATTAAGATCTCTTATAACTCGAGAACCAAGTCGGTGACCCCTACTTTTTTCCCGCTTTTTTGAATAAGCCACTGAAGCTATTTAAATGACTAGATTAAAAAAAAAATTCTTGTATGAATTCTTTCTGTCCTGTACTATCTTAAATACTAATTTTCAGGCCAATTGTCAGTTAACTGTTAAACCATTCCGTAAATCAGTGACACGTAACGTATATTGTACTTACGTTCCTAGCACCACATGAAGTTCCACTCAAAGGTGCAGCGGCGTAGCTGTGACAATACACATAATCTACTGTACAGAAGAGAGCTTTGCAGTTACCCTGGAAAGATAGAAATACTATCAAGTTCCAAGTTATATGAAATATGAAAAAGAGAGCCAATATTATTGCCCTTCATAAATAAAGGCAAGGTCAAGGTCACCCAAATGAAATAAAGAACGAGGACAAGCATTGCAATTTGTACTAATAGTAAAGTCATCACACTTATTCCTCTGGAAAAAACAAACAAGCAAACAAAACAAAACAGTAGCTCAAATTTTTTTGAGTGGTCTACTGTTATGAAATAGAATCTGAAATTGGCATTAAAAGGTCACGTGACCCACGCCCTTCAAACGATTGGTCTTTTTATTTCTGGGCTTCATTCTGACACAAGTTGAGTGCGTCTTATCGATGATGCAACGTGTTTGAGCAAAAGGCCTATTCCTATGAAGATCCAACATCAACACATCTGCCAAGGCTTGACACGAACCCTTCACTAAAATAATTTTAACACCTGCAAGTAATTCACCTTCTCAACCATCATAGCCATGGAATACCTTCCAGCTGAGCGGCATTGCGAAGCAGGGCCTATATATTTAGTAGTTATGCGCATATTGACAACAGTGTCCAAAATTATAAGAATTTTAAACGACCAAGAAGTAGATTGCCAATCAATAGACCTCCTTGGCTCCGGCGTAATGCTTTCCCATTTAAGACTACGTTTCATTCCCTAGAGTATCATTGATTTGCTTAACATTACGTATTACGGGCCGAGAAGGTCTATAGTTAGATTATTGTTGATCAGCTAGAGGACTGACAGTATGTATCGACGTAAAGAGGGATATGGACTTACTGATTCTTGAGGGCATCGACGCCAGGTCGATCCATACTGGTATTTACACTGAATATCACCATCGTTCACTTCGCCCGGAAGTTTGCCAAGGATCGAGATGGGTAGAGCGGGACGATCGGTGGGTGGTTTGTCCTTTAAACAATATGACATAGGGCCCCTATTTTATATAAAATGATAAATGCATTTTGAGGTCATAAAGGAAAATAAAATCACGGGATAATAAAAGAAAAGCCATCAAAAATGCAGTGTTTTTGCAAATTTAGTTGAGTCGAGTTTGGGACTTGATAAAATACAGTAAATGTATGAACACATCAAGTCCATCCTTGACATGGAGTCATTGCTTCATGGTCACTCAAGCGAATTTGCAAAAGGACTATGATTTTGATAATAATAATAATAATAATAATAATAANTGATAATAATAATAATAATAATAATAATAATAATAATAATAGTAATAATAATAATAATAGTAATAATAATAATAATAGTAATAGTAATAATAATACATATATTTTTCTTTATAATTTCACAGACGACTAAATTAAAGCAAGAGCGTTGATCACACCTTTATATTTTAAATTTTGCTTGTTCTACTTAGCCTAGCTCATTTTCTTAGGTTCTGAATACAAATATTTCATAAGATAGATTTTTTCAGATTTAATTTCCATAAAAAKGGATTTTCTTTGGTTGGATGCTGGTATAAAGAGACTGACCATATCTACCTCAGATAATTTTGGACCGTATTTTTGCTACAGTTGGACCATCTAAACATCTCAGGACCTCCTACCACAGAAGTGCTCATTATGTTACCAGGAGGGCACGAATTGGCTCCATCATGACCCAATCCCATGCTGAAATACAATTGGTTAAAAGAATCACTCTCATGCTGAATTACAATTGCGTTAAAAAAATCACTCCCATGCTGAGATACAATTGGTTGAAAGAATCACCTTTATCTATCCAAAGAATCGCCCTTGTTTGTTCAGAGAAAGACTAAGATCAAACGTCGATCTACACATGAGCCGAACCTAATGACATTAAAGAAGACCGCCTTGTTATCCATTGTTTAATTAGGTTTGGCTCATGTAAAGTTCGTTTGACCTGAGCCAAAGAGTAGTAACGACACGAGCTGGGCGCGAAATAGAGGAGCTCACTGATTTTGCCCACAAACTTAGTTGCACTATCCTTGCCATCACGAGGCTGTTAAATGAATCAAACTTCCTGAAACCTGCAAATCATATCGCTTAACAAATGGGTAGAGTGGATAGGTAGAGTGCATACCATATATCCGTGAAAAAGTCTAGTAACAAAATTGTACAAATTATTGTTTTGCAGGTCTACTATCAGGGCAACTGATAGTAGAACTGAACTTAGTAATTGGTGCAAATTTGTGCATTTTTTTCACAAAGTTATTCACGGATAGATGTTATGCGCTCTAAGATGATGAGATAGCTGAACTTACTTATGACCAATTTCATGACTTAATTTGTATGCGGTTTGGAGTCCCATGTCAGCTGCAATGGACGGAGCGATGCGAACAACACACAAGCCACTCAACAACCCCAGACCTACAACAACAACAAGAATTAGAGAGAGGGCTGTTAAATTTGGTTATCTTAAATATGTATTACAAATATTACATTTCTTAAATATGTATTAAATATATTACATTTCATTTTATATCATATATATTATAACATTTGATATGGAATGGTATTATAAACAATCCGGGGCACCCTGCTGCACATCTACTTCCACCTAAAAGAACTAGAATTTTACGGTCAAGAAGCCACAATTACACCTAATTGAAAAAACGTTGCAGGGTTCAAAAAAAGGTTTTATCATCAAAGCTAAGACCGAAGGGGAGCATGGCAAGAAAAACAATTATGCTAATTTCGTGCGTATTGCAGTTTTCCCTTCCTGTGCACATCTTATGCATCATGGCTTTGGCATGTTGTTAATCTAGGTCGACCGACTTTGCTCTACTGTGCATTTTTACATGTCTATATGCAAATATAATACACATTTCGGAGTACCTAAATTCCTTTTCGGTCTTAGCTTCGATGATGATGACATTCTCGAACCCGACTACGTTTTTTCAATTAGGTGTATAAGGTTTGCACTCCAAGTAACAGGTAAGATGCAGCATGCACGATGCAAAAAAATAGCGTTTTTGAAATAGCTTTGCTGATGCTTGTAGTATTAATTTAAATGGAAAAAACGCACAGAACTAGAAAGATGGTAACAAAAGATTCACTAATATTACATCTTTAGGCACATTTTCACATTTCGATATCAAATCTTACCTATCAAGCTTCCGCCTCTGTATTGACATGAAAAATAGTAAATCAAGTAAGTAAGCAAATGTATTTATTTATTGACAACGTTACAAATTAAATTACAATGGTTGTTGACTCGAAAGTCTTAATAGAGTGGTTTTCACAAACCCGTGAAAAACATAGTAGCCTAATAGAAATTAGTAGACCCTAATTCCATTGTGTTCTTTTGTTTTCATTTCACTATTACACACACTAACTATACACCTATTTCAAAACACATTGTCGTCGCCAAAGGCGATAGGCGATAGGCCATCATTCCGAGACGGAAATGGTTTCGTTAAATACAACCTGATCGAATCAGTCTCAACACTAAGGTCCATGTTCTTGACGGGAATAAGGAGCAGAAACACAAGTCATTCCAGTTATTCTTGGATCTTGAAATTACCTATCTCCTATTGCTTTTCGCTTTTAGCCTATCGCCTATCGCCTATCGCCTTTGGCGATGTCAACGTTTTTTGAATTAGGTGTATGTTATACGTTTAATGGGTTATTGAAAATCACTCTATTTGGACAACCACACACATCCTATATTATTATTCATTGATATAATTAACTTATTATACTTTTATTTATCTATATTATTGTATTAACTCATAGTATGATATAAATCATGTACATATGCGTGTGAATAACAAAAAAGACCCACAACCTAATAACAGCTTGTCAGTTTTAAAAATACATTTTTTATGGTCAGTAGATCGACTCTTCCACCACCATTCTATCTATATATTTATCCCATCACTTATTGCAGAGGGATTTTTACGGCAACATGCAACATGCAACATGCAAC